TTTTTTTTTTTGTAAAAAAGTTTATATGTAAATTATGCATAAAATCATCTAATTATTAAAGATATTATGCTAATTTAATATAAATTTTTTGAAAAAAACTTAATATTTCCTACCTTCCACCCCCGACCACCCACCCCTAGGGATTTTAGTTCATTATATAATTTTTTTCTTTACACAAACGCGTATACAAAATACAAAAAAAAACACGACGCGTCTTATGTACCCCCTAAAAATTAAAATTACACGACATATAAACTATTGTAATTTACTTTTATAATTCATTACTTTTATTTTAAATTTTTATGCCATTAAAAATTATGACATTACAGCCTAATTATAGCATTGCGATCTAATTACAGCATTACGACCCAATTACAGCATTACGGCCTAATTACAGTATTACAAAAAGTGTCATAACTGTAATGCTGTATGCTGTAATATTACGGCATCGGCCAATCAATTACGGCTAACATCTTTAATAATATGTACTATTTTTTTATAAATAAATAAATAAAACCTAAAAATCATAAAATAAGCATATCTTAGCCTGCTCTACAAGTTTACTTAAGAAAAAAAAGTAGATTTTGAATACTGTTATTGACTTTACATATGAGCAAAAGATTTTTGCCATTCAGTGCCACTCGGAAACTAAAATTTTGCATTCAAATTCAGTATATTTAACTAATATTCGGTATATAAATTCATATATAATTCAAATACAATTCAGACAAAATTCGGTAAAAATTATTTTATGATATAATAATTTCTCTAATAATAAGCAATAATATAATTAAATTCAGTGAATTTGTATTTTTTTGTTTCAAATTTATTAATAAAATTTAAGCATGTGAATAATTAGTTTATACTACTATTAGCAGAGTATATTCTTTAATAGATTCACAATAATCAACATAATAAAAAACAAACAATTCCTTGTTGATGTTTGTAAAATTAGAATGAAAAATAAAAAGTGATTCATTATATAATGCTGATAATAAAAAAAAAAAAGAAAAAATTCGGACTATAATAATAACTATCTATATTGAGGATAAATCGATCCGCTTTGTATTATCAGCTGATTTGAGTTCAGCAAAGTTAATTTTTCAAAAAAAACCCCCAAAAAAACTAAAATAGAATTATAGAAAATGTCTGTAAATATTATGTCCATAACAATAATTGTGTTTATGCATCCATTATTAAAAAAAAGAGTCAGCTATCAATAGTCCATTGTAAGATTACCACCAGCTAATAGCACTTCTTCTATTTCTACTACTGTTTCCTCTAATTCTTCATTGATTTCACTCCGATACTCTTTGGTAGATTTTTCATGTTCCGTTGTATCGAAAATCATATCGTGCTGGTCGATGAAAGCCCATCAAAGAGTATTTGATAGGTGTAGATAGTCAAAATATTGTACTTCATCATCATAGTATCTACTTCTTTGCAGTTGTGCAGATTGAATTGTTAACGAATACGCATCGAGTACATTCTGTAATAAATTTTTTAGCTAAAAATAAAATCAACTTATTATCGAAATAATTAAAAAAATTAATGTAACGCAAAAATGTCAAACCTCGTCAGAACGCCATGAATAGTCGTAAACATTTATTACAGAACCGTCATCGCCATCCTCACTTATTTCTGGAAAGTGATAATAACGATCGGATAACATTTTTAGCAACGATCGTTCATCGTAATTTTCAATTCGTTTGTCATGTTTTTTGAAGAGGTCTTTTGCGACCTTAATTCTTCTAAACTTTTTCTGTAGACAAATTTAGATAATTATAATGAGAAACATGCTTTACAAATTTTAATGAATTAATTACATACATCATTTAATCGGCTGTTGCAATATACACGACGATGGTCTCCCTCGATCTTTCCAGTCAACTTCAATTTCGCTTGGAACCTTCTGGATTTGTGTATGGAATCTAACCATTTTGTTAATTGATTTACTGATGGATGGTACTTCGGCGCCATATTTTCTCTCAATTCTTTAATAAGTCGACCGCGAACCTTTAGATTTCCCAGGCTATTGAACGTCTCTTTGTAATTAAGGCCATTCTCTTCGTTAACACCCTTCAATATGGTTTTCATTTCAATCTAATTAGTGATTTTTAAAGGGAAAAAAAATAGAGCATTGGTATAAAGCGTTAAAACAAATAATTAGACAAAGTTACGAACCCTCACGTTTACTTCATCCATTTCTTCTTTATCAGAAGTTTCAGAAATATTTTCCAAACTGCTTTCTGGTGAATATTCTTCGGCATCATAACGATTCATTCGTTTCATTTTTGATCCTTTAGCTTTTTTCGAAATAGATTTTTTCGATTTTGTAATTTTTCTACATTTTGACGAATCTCCGCTTGACTCATAGTTGATGCCTCTAGGCAACCTATATTTATCAAAAATTTTAAGTTTACTCTGAAGTTCATCATTCTTGTTACCTAACTCTTCATTAACAGTAGCGAGAATTTCGACTTGTTCTTGCAAATGCTTCATTTCACCGGAAGAAGCTTTCGCTTCTTCAATTTTCTTCTCTAATTGGCTGTTTTAATTACGCAACTCTTTCAATTCTCTTCTTAATTTGTTATTTTCTGTCATAATAAAAAAATAAAACCAATATTTACATAAATAGACAAAATTTACATTGAAATTGTCAAAATGAATCATTTACCTGTTAACAGTTCTTTATAAGTAGCAGTTGGTAATCGTGTAGTTGCCTCTTGTTCGGTTACATTTCTAAGTGACCTAAGTGACTCTGGAAGCCAGAGCCTTTCCTGAAGTGATTCTGGGAGCTGGATATTTTCAAGCCTTTTTTGGATACCTGCAACTGTTGAAATATTTGGTTCTAATTGAAGAGGTCTATTCAGATCAGAGGTAGAAGAAGCCGCAGCATCTCGTTGAGATTCATACGATGGTAGTTGAGATTGAGAGACCCTATATGGATCAATTAGAGAGGTAGAAGAAGCCGCTGTATCTCGTTGAGAAGTTTTATTTTTACTTTTATTAGACGATGGTAGTTGAGATTGAGAGGTCCTCTTCAAGTCAATTAGAGAGGTAGAAGAGGTTGCAACGTCTCGTTGAGAAGTTTTATTCTTATTAGAAGATGGTTGAAATTGAGTGACTGTATTCGAATCAATCGGATCAATTAGAGAATTATCAGAAGCAATAGCGTCTTGTTGAGAAGTTTTATTCTTGTTAGAAGGCGGCTGATATTGAAAGATATAAGGGCTTTGTTTATTTTTTTGGCGGTTATTCATAATTTTAAAATTTTCATTAAGATGTAAATTGTTGGTAAAAAGTTGAAATAGAAAGAAATGATTGATACTTTTTTGTACCTTTTTAAGCTTTTTTTTAAACTTTCTAAGTCCACTTACGACAATACAAATCAATTTTTATATTATCAATGATTAATTAACATAAAATTCAGAAAATAATATAACCGATTCTATATTTACTATTGATTAATTTGAATAAATTTATCAGTTCAATAAAGTAAATCAATTTATTACTAATAAATAATCTTATTTGGAAATCACTTACAAGCTCTCAATGCAAAATGGTACGAAAAAGGTCAATTTCTCGACTTATCGCTACGCCTTTAAGTAGAAGAAATAGATCAATTCCAATATACTTAACACAGATTCAACATCATCACGTAATAGAATAATTTAGTTGCATATAATTGTTCTGAATGTAACGAAAAATTGGGTGATCCTCGTACAAAAAAAACTATGGAGTAACAAGTGATATAGATGATTCAGAAGATGTTGCTTTACCAACAATATATCTGCCTAATGAACCATCTCAATTTTCCCAACACATTTCTAATTTAAATATTGAAAACGATTATGACGAATATGGAAAGGCTTCGAAATCAAGATCTGATGAAATTCGTTTACAAATTGAGGATCAAGAAGAAAAAGATCAACAACAAGATGACGATTTAACCTTTTTACCTCGAAATCGTATTAAAAGATACACAAATCGCCAAAGACGAAAATAATTTTGAACAAGATTGGCAGTCAAATCTACTGAAGATACAAGTACTGATGATTCTCAAAATGAAGATGAAGCGGTTAATAATGATAATGAATATTCTGAAGAATTTGAAGATTATTCAATCCCTCACTATGAATCATGCCCAATTGCCTCAGAATCAACATATAGTAACCAAATTTTGTGGATTTTACTATGGATTATGAAATTTCGAACGTCAATTGCTTTTGGTTCATCAATTTCAGTTCCTAGAAACTGGATTTTACTAACAAATGAGATTGCGAGGTTTGTGACTGCGACTGTGACTGTGACTGCGAAGTTTGTGACTGCGAGATTTGCAATTGCGACTGCGAGGTTTGCCAGAAACAGGAACAGAGTCGTTTATAAAAATAACTAGGTTTCACCTGTTAACTGCATTAACAGTTAATATTTAAAACTTAAAAACATATATACAAAGTAAAATTTTAATTATATGGTGCCGGAACTCACTGGTAAAAAAATGATTTATCCTACACATATCTTACACATATTGGGTACTCAAAATGTAAAAAATCATACACAAATAATACACATATCATACACATATCGGGTACTAATATATATATCATACATATATCAGGTACCTGATAGGTATACTATATATATAAGTACCCGATATGTGTATGATATGTGTATTATTTGTGTATGATTTTCTACATTTTGAGTACCCGATATATGTAAGATATGTGTAGGATATGTGTAGGATAGACCATTTTTTTACCAGTGACTCTATACTCAAAAATGTTTCAAATTTTTAATTTATCACGTGAGAAGCACAATAGCCAATAAAAACTCACAATTTTAGACAAAAAATAGAAAAAACAGATACGAGCATGTACAAAAAAGGAAAAAAAAGGAAATGGGCTAAAGAATAAAGCAGAAAGTAGTATTTATTTAAGAACAATCAAGCTAAAATAGGGTTGAATTTAGACTTTTAAGTAAATTAAGGACATTTTAAGCCATTTTAAGTCTTAAAATAATTAAATGTCAATAGGATTTATGTAAATTCTCATAAAATAAATGCATTTATGTGACTTTTTGTTTCAAATTTGGGCCAATCATATAAAAATAACCAAATTTCAAATGCTTATAACTTTTTATGTAGATATTTTTTTGAAAATCTGACTGGTAATTTAATAGTACTTGTCTTGTAGAACAAAGTTACCAGTTTATTTTTTTGAAATTCTATTTTATTAAAGTGTTGAAAGATTTATAATTTATCACAATTTTATTTTTGAGTATAGAGTTCCAGCACCATATATATATAATATCTGCGCCTGGCCATTTCGGTTTCACATACAGGTGTGTGCTTCTTTTTGCGCTCCTTTGTTCTCTTTTTTTGTTTTTTATCTTCGTTTTAACTTTTTTTCTCTTAGATCCCAGCTCTTCGGCATTTCGGCTCTTCAGTTTTCGGCTTTGGTTCTAAGGTGCGTTTTTTTTTCATTTTTTTTTCTCTTGTTTCTTTTTTTCCGTTCATTCTGACTATTCTTTCCTCTCAGACATGATGCATTTCAATAACAGATGGTTCAAATGCAGGTACATAAGGATAACGGGAAGCTATAATGGAAAAAATTTCCAATTAATATAAACTCACATTTAACATCTCAAAAAATCAAGAAAAGAAAAAATAATATAATTTACCAAGGGCTTTTATTTTTGTTTTTTTATGTTTTATTCAATAAGTCCCGGCTTTTTGGCAACTTCAGCGCTTTAACATTACGGTTCCATTCTTTTTTTGTTCCTTCTCTTTTTTCGTTCTTTAACTTTGTTCTAACTTCTTTTTTTTTGCTTTTTTCTTTTTGCTTTTTTTATATTTTCTTCCTTTTATATATTTTCTTCTTTTCCTTTCTTCTTCTTTCTCTTTCTTCTTTTTCTTTGAGAAAAATAAAAAAAATATATATAATTACGGTAATACAGTAATTTTTGTATATATCTTGCGTGTTGCGTCATTTGCGTTATACACTGCAGTTCATACAATTGTAAATTGTTATTTATGTGGTTAATCTAAACGTAACACCTACGTGATTGCAGTATTTTTTAAAGATTGCACTAGTCGAAATAAAGTAAATCAGCTAAAAATCAGATATCCGATTTAGGTCAAATTACGGCTTAAATATGTCCGATTTTTGCAAAAAATATATTCCGATTGTTATCCGATTAACTGCCAATCAGATGTACTTCGGAACTTAAATCGGACATAAACCAGAACTAAATCATACTAAATTCGGAAAATTATTATATATAGAAAATTCGATTTAAATTTATTATTGTTATATATTAATTATCAGAAATATTTACGAATAATACATGAAAAAATAAAATTTTAAAATAAATGTAATCGATAGTCCCGCTTCATTCAGCTAAATCATCACCGGCTGCACTTTTTTGACTATCGATTAACACCTCTTCCGTTTCTTTACCATAGTCTTCATCTTTGTCGAAACCATTTCTACTATCGATTTCCGTATCATATATAAAATCCTCTTGCTCGATATATGACCATTGTGGAGCTTCTTGAGGGTGCATTTGGTCAAAGTATTGAACTTCATCATCATACTGGTGAGGTCGTTGTAATTTTGCCGTTTGAATTTCTGCTGAATGTGAATCGATGACGTTTCGAAGTAAATTTTTTAGCTAAAAAAGACAATATAAATAAAATAAATACAAAATAAAGAAAGGAACGAGAGTGATATATCGAAGTATAAATATCGAAGTATAAATATCGAAGTACAATAAATATCAAAGTATAATAAATATCAAAGTATAATAAATATCAAAGTATAATAAATATCAAAGTATAATAAATATCAAAGTATAAACCTTTTGTGATCACCAAGAATAATTATAGATGCATACAATCGTCTTAATTTCTTATTATTGACTGCTTTTTAGTAAATTTAATAAATTTTATTAAAATAAATATATAATTAATTGTTTTGATTTATTATTGAATAAAATCAGTTATTATTATTATTATGAATAAACTAAATCCGGCATTTCAAAAGAAATAAATTGGTAATCTTTCGTAAATGTGTTTTGAGATCGATTTGTGTATATTTTATAACTAAAAGTTTGACGAATAGTTTTATTTCTGAATTTTGCCGATAATAACGAATTTTTGCCGATTTGTGATTGCCAAGTGGCAGGCGAACTGTGCAAATCGTCCATAATAATTTTGACGATTTTTTGGCAATGATCGGCTAAAGTTAGATCAACTTTCGTCTAACATTCGTCAATTTGAAATTTGGACGAAATGGACTATTCTGACCAGTGTTCCAGAAGAACGGTTAGCAAAACGGTTCAAATCAGATGGGTCAAAACAAGGAAAGAAGACGGTACATTACGCTGAAATTCAACCAAAAGAAGAACAAGAAGAACAACATGAAAAGGAGGCGAGGGTTTGTAATTTTGTAATTTTAGGCAGAATTGTACAGTCTTTATACTTTTATACTAATTGTTCCCGATTTAAAGATTGAAATGAAAATGATCCTTAAAACTATTAAACCTAATGATAATTTAGACGATAACTAAACGTTTAATAGTCCAAAAAATGTTAAAATTTGCAGTAGATTAATTTCCGAACTTCGAAAGGCGATGTTTCTGAATTATAAACCTTCAGTAGCACAATTAACAAACTGGTTGAGCGCCCTCCATAAGTCGCAAATATCACAAATACAACTGAAAAAAAGTGGAAAAAGCGACGAGAACAGTCGCAGAGTTCACAACAACAGTCGCGTACAAAATGTAAAATCGTCGAATTTTTTCCTTTATCATCATGTTAATGATTTATGCTAATTTTCTTATATATTTATCATTTAAGAAAAAATTGCGTCAAATTAAGGCTGCAAAGGATCTTTATAGGAAGGGTGACGAAAGAATAATTGGTTATGAAAAACGCCAATTATTAAAAATGTTGGCAAATCGATCTTACCACTTGCCAGAAATCAGTGAGTTAGATGAAGAGAATCCAGATAATATTTCGCAATAAATCTATCATAAAATGATAAAATGAATCAATCATTATGTTCGGTTTAGGTATTATCATCAGTTTGTGACTGCGATTCACAATTTTCATCCAGAGTTTCAGGACCAAAAAAATCCGTATCGACAGGTGTATTTTAAGTTTTGTATGCCCATTCTAGAGCATTTTTAGGGTGTCATGAGGTGATACAATAGCTTTCGTCATCATAGTTTCTCCCCCTCATTAATTGCGCCGTCTGTAGAGAAAATACGTGAGTATCCAAGACGTTTCGGAGAAAATTGATAAGCTGTAAAGTCATAAAGTCATTAAAACAAATAAAATTAGTTGATGTTTTTAATAAAATATGATAAAAAAAATTATTATATGGTGGCTATCACCTATAAACAACAATAGTCCGAAATTTTGAAATTTATTTATTTATATTGTGTAACTTATATTTTAAAGTATTTTGTTAAAATATTAATTGCCACGTGAGCGGCAAAATTTTTTTTTGCCATATTACATGGAATTCTTGTGGATTTCCATGGAATTTTTGTAAAATCCATAAAAATTACATGAAAACTAGTCCGAAATTTTATATTTTTATTATTGCTACTTATTAAAATTATCCAACTTTAAACAATAATATTAATTAAAATTATTATTAAATTCTATAAAATAATCCGATAGAAATGTTCAGTACATGTTGCTATATCATTTTATCAGTTTAGTTTTTTCTTTTTACTATTCAATTTACAATTTATAAAAATTTGAAGTTACTTAATATTAGTGTGGTTTATAGGTGACAGCCACCATACCTCATCGGAACGCCAACTAAGATTATAAACAATAATTTTTCTTTTACCATCTGGTTATTCTTTATCCGTTTCTAAGTCTTCAGGTGAATGGTAGCGAATATCTTTCAGAATGTTTAGGACTTCTGTCTTATCATAATCCTTTACTCGATCGTCATTACGTTTAAAAAGGGAAATAGCACCCTTGATTCTACGCGATTTTTTCTGAAATATAACAAATGTTTAGTATCAATTTTGAAATGACAGTAAAAAGACAGATTCTATCTCGCTCAATCTGTTGTTTTTATGCAGTCTTCTGTTATCTTTATCAATTACACTTCACTCAACATATAAAAGTCGTGCTCTACGATGCTTGTGTAAGGCAGCTAACCAATCGTTTATCTGTTGTTACGAAGGACTAAATTGAGGCTTCATGGAAGCAATCAATCGTGGTATTAATTGTCATAAAATGTCTGTGTTCGTCTCGTTTATAAATTTTTCATCGTATCTTAACGTTAATTCGGGAAGGCATCGTTTTTAATATTACCTTCATTTCAGTCTATAATAATTTATAAAAGATTCGTAAGAATAAGGTTGCTGGGCGAAACTAAGTAGTTTAGACAATTGTTGAAATCGAAACTAGTTGAAACATTTTATTAAAAAATTAAAAATTTGCGAAACTGCGAAACTGATGAAACTGGTAAAACTGTGAAAGGTTTAGACATATTTTTACATAGTAGTAATTAATAAAGTTTACCATTTATTATAATAAATTATATGATTTAATATAAATTTAAATAGTTTTGCAATTATAAAATTTAATATACATTATATTAATTATTTAAATCATTATATATAAATATTAAAATATATAGTAAGTTTAATTAATAATTAGTTTTATAATTTTACTTTTTATATATTATTATTAGTACAGTCAGATCTTTATATAGTTATCTAATCGATTCTGCAAAAATTAGTAACTATATAGAGGCTTTTACTATGATGTAATTATATAAAGATTTTTTTTATATAATAAGTATATAAATTAGTTTTTCCCAAAGGTATGATTATATAAAGAAAATTTATATGATATAACTATATGGAATGTTACTATATAGAAGTCTAACTATATTTATTAATAATTATTAATTAATATATAATATTTATTTATAAAAAATTTATTTAAATATATATAATAATGTATTAATGATTATTTATTTTAAATTTTATTAATTAGAAAGTTTAGACATAGTTTAGACATTTAACTATTGTCGAAACCTTTTGTCATAGTTTAAACTATTACTAATTAAAGTTTAGACTTTTGTTAAAAGTTAAAATGAGTTTAGCCAAGCAACCTTACGTAAGAAGAATATTCAAATCGTGTAAAATGCAAAATCTGTCGATCTCTAACAAACTCTAGCATTTTCTTCGTCAGTTTCAGAATCGTCGTCTGATTGATCAATTTGACGTCTCGCGACTTTTCTTTTTTTGCCAGGTCTATTATCATTATCGTTACTTTCACTTTCTGATGATTCGACATCGGCATTATCTTGGCTCAATATTTGTGATTTGAGATTATTAATCTCGGCTTGAAGAACTACATTTTCGTGATTGATATACTTATTATGGGAATGTAATTTGTAGTGATACCGGGCGAAACTATTTTTTTCAATCCGAAATATTTCGTCTTTTTTTTTTGAAGGATAAATTAATTCCGAAACCTAAACTTATTCCGAAACTTAAATGTATATCCGAAATGACGAAATATATTTATAGTACAACATAGTATTTAAGGTTTAGTAAACTAGCCAATTATAATATAATTATTTTATTTTACGTTTAGTATATGTATAATTTTAATAAATTTCAAAGAAAATGTAACACAATTTTCAACATATTATTATCAAAAAAGTTATAAGCATGTGAAAAAAATACGATTTCTAATATAAAATTGATTATAAAGTGTCTCCTTCTAATTCATTATCAATTGAATATTGTTGAATTAATTCTTCAACATCATAATTACTTTCCATTTCTACATTTTCATCACTATCGTCTAGTTCATCTTAACCATCAGTTTCATTAACATCATCATTAATATCACTGTCATCCGAATTTTCACCATCATTATTCAAACATTTTACTGCATTTTTTAAATTAAACATTTCTTCAATAATCAAAACCCGTACTTCATGATTAGGAATTTCTGAAATAGGAATATTTCTTCTATTATCAATTTCATCTTCCTCCTCTTCAAATTGTAAAAATGTTGAATCATTAATCATTTCATGCACTTCATCCTCTGTATATTGTTGACTAACATAAGCAAGCTCATTTTTAATATTAGATACATAAAACGACCGAATTTTTGCCATAGCCTCAACCTTTAAAAGTCCTAATCGTTGCCGTCGTGTACCATATAACCAGCCAAGAGTGGAAAAAATTCTTTCGCATCCTGCACTATGTGGAGTGATAGAAAACACCATTATAGCCAATGCAGGAAGATAATCATACTTGTCTTTGATTGTAAGCCACCAACTCATTGGTGTTTCAAGATGGCTATCAAACTCTTGATTATATGGACTCTTTCGCAATTCATAATTAAGCATTTGTGCCAAAAGACGATTACATGACCTCCTGTCACCACCATTATTTTGCCAAATCTGAGCCGCGGTAGTAGTGATAGTTTTCCAATATACTGCTTTTAAAACACGTGCTATTAAATATTTATAAAAAAATCAATTTATTTTATTTTAATAAATAATTTCATTAAAAAATTAGGATTTTACTAACCGCGATAGGCAGGATGTAAAAAATATGCCAAAATATAGATTTTTGGATCAAACTTGTCCCAATATTTGTTAAATGATTCGATACAATGTTGATGAAATTCTACCATTCCTCGAGAAGGTAATTTTTTAATAGTATTTGCTATTAAAATCAATTGAAGAAAGCAATCAGCAAGGTTTGCATTAGCACTTTCAAGTAAGGTAATTGCAGTTTTAATCGGCTTTAGAACTTTGGTTAATTTATCAACGTTTGAGAAAAATTCCGAGCTTCGAATATTTCGTCTAACACTTTTATTTGTGATTTCATTAGGATTATTCTTCAAAACCTATAAATATTTTACAAAATATTATTAATAATCAGTAATATTACAATAACAAAATAAGAATTTATAGATATTGAAATAAACTCACATGTTCTAGTGCCATTCGTAAACGAGATACGGAACTTACAGCTTCATACATGGAAGTCCATCTTGTTTCACAGTATGTTTTAAGCCCTCCTCCTACGATTTGTAATGTAGTAGTAGCATCGGTCAACAATTTTCCTACTATATGAGAACGTTTAAAGAATGATGTAATCTGATTACAGCCACTGATCGTTATTTTAGCCAAATCATGTTCTAAAATTAAAAAAAAAGGTTAAAAAGATGAATTTTTAACAATAATTCATAATTATTTTATAGAATTTGAAACATACCCATAATCTGTTTGGTTACTAAATTGACGAAATGAGCAATGCACCGAAGATCAATAATGTTTGGAAATTGGTTCGTAACAATTTCCCTTGCTTTAACGCAATTCGCAGCATTATCAGTAACTAATGCAGAAACTTTTTCAGGGCCAATTTTTTTGATAATATCCGTAATTTGGCATGCAAGAAAATCTCCTGTATGATGATCGCCTGAGTAGTCATGAAGAGCATAAAGGTATTGTTCTCGATCAGGAGTTAGGATTACATAGTTATAAACAGAAACACCATTCGGATTTGTCCAGCCATCAAGTGCTTAAAGAGTTAAAGAGTTAAACAGTTAGAATTTAAAATTTTAAAAATTTTTGTAAATTCATTTGATAACAAAACTTACCAAGTGTTAAATTCTCAGAATTTTTAATGATCTCCTTAATCTTGTCATTAATTCTTGCTGTTTCTTGATTTAAAAGCCTACCACTTAGCAATTCGCTTGTTGGAGGCTCATATCCTGGTCTCATTTCGTGAAGAAATTCAATAAAAAATGGATTCTCAATAATTGAGAACGGAATACCACAACATATAAATGCGCGCACAAGAGCACGAGTAATAGAAGCCTTTTTTTGAGAATTTATGTTAGTTGACTCAAACCAATCAGTCAACTCCCGCTGGTCCACCTGAGTTTTTCTTTTTTTACTATTTTCTGGCGAAGAAAAGGTATCTTCCCTTCCAAAATCCCGCGCAGAAACTACACCTAAGTAGAACGAATGAACAAGTTCTGGAACTTCTCTACAGTTGTTTGCTAGGTGATCTTCTAGCTCATTTGGATGACCACGAGGCCAATATGTCCTACAATAATTACATTTGGCCGAAAAATGACCAGCAGACTTGAGCGGTTTCTTCTCATAATGTCTCCATACTTCACTTTGAGGACGACCACCTTTCTTCTTTTGTTGTTCAGTTGGAGTGTCCATTTTTTATAGAATATTGAACGTTTATGAAT